GGTATGTTTCTTGATTTTAATGTATCAGCAAAAACGAGTAGGAGCAATAAGACCTAAGAAGTACACGTACAAATTAAATTACTTTAAATTTTCATTTCTTTATCGCGACATGACAGACTGAAAAATTATTCCGTCGAACATTATGCACGCACCTTCATTAAGCAGTTTTAAGTCCTCTAGTAGACCATTCGTGTCAGTTTTAAATGAGGTGTAACTTGTGAGCGAAAAGTATGCAATTTAATTCGGTTAGCTTTGGGCCGTGTTTAAATTTTTCTTCTTTTAGTATGTTTCAGATTGGAGAATATCCTTTGTATGGGAATTGGGTTTTAATTTAGGTTTTAATTTATTTGTATTAGGATAACAAAGTATTAATAATAACAGTAATAATAATATTTAATACTTATATTGCGCTTTTTCTATAAAAATACTCAAAAGCGCATTACAATATTATTAATAACTAAATTAAAAACCAGTAAAATTACCCGGTAAAATTACAATATTTAAAAATAAATAAATAAATAAATAAATAATCTAACTAAAAGCCTTCTTAAATAAATATGTTTTAACAGAGCGTTTAAAAGAGTCGATTGATGTTTCCTGTCTTATTGGCAGAGGAAGACTGTTCCATAAAAAGGGGGCAGCCATCGATAACGCGCGATCTCCCAAAGTCTTCTTCGTTCTTAGCCGAGGTCTTTCTAACAATATACCATTATTGTTACGGCGTAGTTGGTAACGTGAGTCCGGTAAGACAGAGACAAGATCCTTAAGATAGCTAGGCGCAACACCGTGAAGAATCTTAAATGTGACAAGGAGAATCTGAAAATCTACGCCCAAGCGCACTGGTAGCCAGTGGAGTTCTCTAAGCAAAGGAGTAACGTGACAATACTTGGGTGCACAGTAAACCAATCGAGCACTGGCATTCATGACTCTTTGAAGTTTCTTAATTTGATACTCTGGAGCACCGTACAATAAACCATTACAGTAGTCAAGCCTGCTTGTGATGAACACGTGAACAAGCCTCTCGGTGGACTCACGAGACAAATACTTCCTAATGTGCCGGATATTGTACAAATAATAAAACGCGCTAGCACAAGTCTTAGACACATGAGTCGACATGTCCAGATGAGAATCGAACCAGGTGCCCAAATTGCGCACTGAAGAGGCAGGCGATACCTCAGCTTGGCCGATCTTGATCTTGTCAACGGACACCTTTGATAACTGTCGTTCCGTGCCAATGATCAAGAACTCAGTTTTATCGTCCTTTAGCATTAAGTTATCATCTCTCATCCATGCGTGAACGTCACGAATACAGTTCTCAATCGCAATCACAGCATCAACCTCGCTGGTCTTATCAACGGGATTAAACGATATATATATAGCTGCGTATGGTCCGCATAGGTGTGAACGGATGGCAGATGAGATTTCAAGATGTCAAACAGCGAACTCGCGTAGATGGTAAATAAGAGGGGGCCCAAACAAGATTAAACTTAAACTTAAGTAAGGGTAATAGGACTAGGTGGAGAAATTTTCAGGGAGTAATCAAGAAGGTAATTTCAAATCGACCGAGCACGAAGCGCATGCACAATTTGAAAATACGAGCCTTCATTACCTTGAATTATATATACGACAGGAGGTCCTTGTACAAATTAATTGGGTCAGTAAAAAAGTGCCAGAATCTTGGAATATCTATTGAAGTACAACGTTCGTATTACATCAGTTTACACCTTCCAAAGCAAAAACCTGTCTTAAGACTTAAGGAGAAACTATAAGAATATTTTAAATATATATTTTAAAAAATTAAATGTGTCAAACTGAAGCTGGAAAAACTTGCTCACTGAAGTTTTTTTCTTGGTTTTGATTTGATACAATTGCCTAATTTTTTAAACCCTAATATATTTGGCAACAACATTTGGTAGTTGATTCTCATTGGTTGTTCAACTGTCCAATTACAAGCAGTTTCTAATCGGACAGATCAGGTTGGACAGTTCTGGTGCTGCATCAGCCAAATTAAGCAATACATAAGGGCTGCTGAGAACCAATCAGATTCAAGAATATTGTTGAGAAGGTTATACTAATAATACTAATAATGACAATGATGATGATGATACTGATACTGATAAGACCCAACTGCCCAACTGCACGGTAACTATATCAATATTTTGTTCCACTTCATTTTTCTCAGGGGCTCTGCTTTGGACTCTTCCTCTTCCTTGTGTGTGGACTTTTCCGACCATCATCAGGAGATCCTGTGAGCCGTATTCGGCCTTACACTTCTAAGCCAATTAATGGCCATACAGAAGCCTGGGTACCAACTCGTCCTCCTGAGACGCTAATTCCAAAGGAAAAATGCTTTCGTATCGTGGACAAGTTACCTCGCCACCATCACGTTTTCCGAGGGAAGTTTCGGCGTCCACTGTGCGTACGTCTTAATGAAACCCAGCTGTTGCAGATGCTCAAAGATGTTGGTGGCTATAACCCAAGGTATGTGGCTATTAACAAAGAAGCTGCATGCAACTTCACCGACCTTTCTCAAGATGTTGAGCCGTTACCAAGGAATTCATCACAGCCTGCACGACAAAAACGCATGGTTTCTAAACGTAGAAACACCCAAATACGCGGGTGCTGGGGGCGTGGCTCTTTCGCTGAAGGAACTCACCTCAAGCGCATGTGCACAGAATGCGCGGCAACAACTCAGCTTTCTGCCAACATTTTCCCGCCTTTCATCAACGAGGTGAAATGTGGAGACAAAGACGGCTACTGCTACCTTCGTCGGGGGCGTTGCAAACAAAAGTTTCTCCAGTTTACCTTTCTTAAACGTACCGGAAAGTTTGAGCGAAATGACGACCTGAGCAAAGATCGTGATGAGGATGTATATATGGAAAAATTCGACACCTTTGGAGAACGCATTAGGTCGTGCTGCGAATGCCGCGCTTTTCCTTTTCCAATTGGCTAAACGGACAATATTGGAGACAAACGTTAGACAATGATGCATCTGAGTTACTTCGTCTGTGTAGGATTTGTTAGGGTCTGTTTACAAAGAGAGAGAGTTACCTTTTCGCTAGGGTTACCCGAGCAAGCGGGTTAAAGTTAGCTCTTATTTACTCTTATTTACCCTGAAGTGGGGGGGGGGGAGGGACCCTAAAATGGCCTATTCTTTCAGGCTACTGGTTTATGAAAGGGTAGGGATTTCACTAGTTGAAGTATTTCAAAGGGTAGGAAAATCTGTTATTTGGGTCTATGAACGGGCCCAAAAGGGCTAACAGATGAATTTTAAGGCTTTATAAAGTCCACAAAACTTTCTTTTTTTGTGATTGCTTAAAAGAAGTGCATTTACAGCAGTTAAAAGGGGTGCGATCGCGAAGTTCTAAACAAGGTACTTGAAGGGGGTTCCATTGGCCAATAGAGGGTATACGAAAGGGGTACCTTTTTCTCGAAAAATGGTATATATGACAATGGCAATGAAAATGCTTTATTTATTTGGAGTCTTAAACAGTCCTATGTACATCGACTTTATCCAAATAATTTAGAATCATAACACAAAATGCACACTAGTGGAACTATAATCAATGTTAACCTAAAGAACTTATGATCTTCTTTTCTTATAGCAGTCGTATAAAGGGGTAAGGGGTTGGACCTAGGGGAGGAGCCTAGCCGTATAGAAATTTGTTGAGTACACTTCCCCTCCCCCCGGGTGATTTACAAGCAAATTTCACAGGTAGGGTTACCTGTCACGCGGGTCTACTTCACCAACTTAAATGACGTGTAACGCCCAAGATTTGAATTTTTTCTCTGTTATCATATCACGGTTGTGCAGTGTAACTATAAATGGCGGTAATACCTGAAGAAAGCAAACAAACCGATATTTCTCTTGACAGAACTACTACGGATATCTACAGGAAAGACACGAACACTGACCAGTATGTCTCTTTCACCAGTTATGAACCTTGGCCTCGTAAGATCGCTTGGGCTAGAGCCCTGTTCCATCGCACTTCTAGCATTTGCGATAACGACTCTCTGTTTCAGAAACAAATATCAGTGATCAAAACTTTCCTGTATTGGAATGGTTTTCCTAGATCTGGTGCGTCTAACCTCATTAAATGTTTCATGTGTAGTGACTCTGGGCCAAGATCATCCAACAATTAAAGCTTTTTTTACACGTAGTCTGCAGTTACCAAAAAAGACAAAGATATATTAAGCTGAAAAATCTAAATATAACTTTAGATGTCTGAAATATTGAAGATTTAGCCGCCTTTCTTTTAAGAGAACTTAGAAGTGAATAAGACTTTCACGACATGTGCACAAAGTTAGTTAGTTAGTTAGTTTGTTTTTTCAGACTGTTTTTGGAGAACCACGTTTTATATCAAACTTTCAAACTCATTCAAACGTCAAAAATAAACGAATGCAATGTAACAAGCACCACAAGACCGCCATTCTAAGCAGTTTAATTTAGGGTTTTTTGCCCTGCCTAAACTGAATAACGGGTTTTATGACTTTGGTTCAAGCTTTTTGTAGTGATTTTTTTTTAGTAACCCAGGCCCATAACTCATCTGTTACCCTTAAAATTATAACTCCTAGTTACCAATTCATTTATCAATGGAATCAATAAAATTAATGCAATATTTACTTCTTCTGTGCCCCCCTGCTTTGTTGAACGCTTCCTCGTCAGGGTACAACGTGGTTTAATGACTTCAATTTAACAACTGGAAGCCACTGGTTCAAGTTCTGAACGATAAAATGTAAGGGTATTCTAAGCTCGATAAATTGTTAATGGTCATGTTACAAACAATATATATATATATATTTCTCGAAACTAATTGAAGGAAATGACATAAAACACCTATCACACCCCTAAGCTATTCTCCACCTTTATGTTGGTTTCAAGCCATAAGGAACATATTTATGCACGGATGATTCGGGTTTCTGAGTAAGTGTGGCTGCCCCATATTCGTTTAATAATTTCACTGTTATGTCATAAACCCATAAACATTTTGACATTAATGTTTCTCGAAAGTTGTATAAATAGTAGCTAATTGATAACCGGTTTAAAAAAAAAACCAATGTGGCCGATTTCGACAGTTTTCCTATGTATAGATTTGTTACACTATCATTTAAAAAAAGAAGATGATGTTATATCTTTTTTTATGAAACTGGGCTGAAAACTATCAAATATAATCGAATATGCATGTAATAAGTGTTTTGACATCTGTATTGACGCCTGTTCACAACATTTGTTTTACTGGAAGATAGCGTAATTAAACTGACCTCCGTGAGCTTTTATTCTTATTAGTTATAACCTTATTACCTGAGTGGCCTGACTAGGTGGGCCGTGTTATTGTACGTGTTGAGAACTCCGCAGAAAGAAGGATTTCCGTATAGTCGACGGCAAAATGAAGGTAAAGTTGCTATTACATTTTATACCCTAAATATTATATATCCAAATGTAACTTAGATTGAGAACTAACCTATAAATTTTCCTTTTGATTCTTAGAAAGTGAAAAAAAAAAAACACGTAGTATTTCCGAGGAAATTTATATTCAGTAAATGTCACATGTGGCTTCCGCTTTTTAACGCTGCAACGGTTGATTTTGGACTGAAATGAATACCAACTAGAAAGCTATACCTGTATTTTGTTTTATAAAAAGACAATGTTACATCCAATGTTGTATTGTGAGGACTTTTTACAGCCTGATCTGTAGCAGGTTATTCTTACGATTTAGCCAAAAAATGTCATTCGATCTGTAAAACTTATTTTTAAATAAAGGGTAACACTTCCGAAATTAATTGGTCACTTAGCAGCTACATACATTTGAAACGCATAAAACAAGAAGGCAAAAATCAGCACTTAAGACTCGACGATTTCAATGCAATTTGTCGAGCAACGTGGCTAACAATTTCCTTAACCGTGACCCACTGAGCGCAAAATTGATTAATTCGCATTCAATGACAAAAGTAAACTATGGAAATATATTAATTGAATTTACGTGTAAAATTGTTTTTATATAGTAGACAAAAAGACCGAGAATGTAAACCAAATTTAAAAAGACCGTGCGATCATTAGCCACGGGAAACCCAGGTGACTTCAAACTAACCTCGGGAAAAATGCTGCGACAAATAGTAGTATGTCCGAACATTTTACTAAAGAAATCACAGTAAAATCAAGAATGTCCAAAATAAGCAAATACGGATTTAAAAAGGACATTTTGGAATGAATGTGAATTTATCATGGACCATTAGCTTATTGTATTCAAACTTTTAAGTATTTGTTACTGGAGAGTTGCGTAGTTTATTGCCTACGTTGCAGACGCTCTAAACCTTCTGTATAATTAATTGGTTTTGACGAGCACGTGGGCCGGCTGCAACACAGGCTAGTAGTTTATAGTAGCTTTCAAAAACGTTTGTCAGCCTGGGGTCTTTTTATAATGCCAGGTTGTGTTGACACTGAACATACTTGGCGGAACCGCGGGCTAACTTGCTATAACTAATTTTTAAACTGGGCCAAATTCTTTTTTTTTTCGCACTGGGAAATATTGTTTGAGATTCGTAAGAAGAAATCGACCTTTTTAGCTGGTAGGTTTTGTTTTCCCATTTTTACCCCGGAGAACTTTTCCTTTGAAATGTACTCGCTCTATCGACGTGCATGTGCGTGCATAACTAATCAAAAGACAAAAAAGTGAATTTTGTTGTGAACATCACTTTCTCTGAATTGGGAAAACAAAAACCTACAATCTGAAAAGGTCTAACGTTTATTTCAGTCAAAGTACAAGCTTTATAACTTTACCTCCAAGTGAAGCCCAGATTAGATAAAAGCTCTTTTAATAAACACTGAGGCGTCCCTGCTCCACATATTAAATCAATGTTCATTCCAAAATAAGTGGCCCTTTTTTAACCTATACCCCTTGTTTTGTTTTTTTTTTTTTACTTTTTTTTGTGTAGGCTTTAGTTCATCCTCTTTTTCTGACTGCAGTCATCCAACTTCTGCTCATGGACTGCGCTTACTCGCTGCCCTACAACACGAAGACCGGTGTTTTTCCTGGTGAAGAACATCCTCTTCTGAAAAGATTGGGTCTAGAAAACTCACAAGAAAATGAAGATCTGTCAAGCGAGGAAAATATGAAAAATCTTTCTTCTGCTAAGAAACCTTCAAAAGAATTTGGACCTAAAGTGCATCCATGTTTTAACACGAGGGTAAACAAAACCGTAATTACTTCCAACGGTGAGAAAGTCCTCTGTTTGGTGCCGTCGGAGGCCGAATTGGTGAAGTATCTTAAAGAATCTGGAGGCTTCAACAAACATTATGTAGCTGTCACTGAGGAAGAAGCGGAGGAAAACTTTGAAGACCCTCTCAACCCAATTGTCTCGTCCAAACCGGTTTGGTTAACTGTGACTGGAAAGCGTCGAAGATTCAGTGATGAAGACGACTACTACAGGATGGGAAATACCAAAGGAACATTAGACAATAAACACCAAAAACGGAGTGTTAGCGGGCTTAAATCTTGCGTCGAGCAGGGTAAACGGAATTCCATAGGGATGATTCAACTCTGCGGGGAATGCGGGTGGGTCACGAAGTTACCCGAGGACAAGTTTCCAAGATACATCAACGAGCTTATCTGTGGTAAAGATGGCAACACTGTTTCCCATTCTCCTGAAATCTGCAATATGTTTCAAGGTGAGTGCATCCAAGGATCGCTGACGCAGGATCTTCTGGAGAGAACCGATCGCTACAAGAAGATTAATTCACCCGATCCTCAGTACCACGCAGTTTATAAGCAAGTTTGGCAGCCGTACAGTCAGGCCATAAGAAGCTGCTGTCAATGCCAAAACTTTTAGTCCAAAATGTTAGTTCCTTGGTGTTTCTGTAGAAAAGTAGAAATGTTCATGGCATAGAGAATTTGATTTTTAATTAACTGATTAACAAATTGATTAACTAGGGTCGCAACGAGCAAATTAAACTCT